GATGTTTATGATTACCGTCACCAGTAAGAAGAGCACAGCCCCAGCCTGCCAACAGAATACCAGACAAGACGGTCTTTTCTGGGCGTTTTTAAGCATTTCTTATATTATCTGCTTTATCTGGGTAACCAAGCAGCGTTTCACAGCTTGTCTATACCCTGGCATGACAGAGGCTAAAACCAACTCTAACGAGGCAGAAATGATCCCTGGAGATGTCTGCCGTAGTCAGGCTGCATTAACCTTAGCCTTTTAATGATATAAGCATTGCCTGTCTGGTCAAAAATAGCAGCACACCTCCAGACTACAGATGAGGATGCCTGGGATAGCTCTGTCCACACACACTGCTGTATTTACAGATCTCTTTACGATAAGAATCTTTATTGTCACTGACACTTGACAACGAAATTGAGAAAGTGCAGGCGACTCAATGTGAGGCATGAGTAATAAAAAATATATCAAAAATATACAAATTGCACTGACTATTACAGTTTATTACTTGAAATTACATCTAAAATCCCTGCACATTTCTTAGTTGTGCTTCACCCACAGGTAAGTAAAATTATACAGGAAAATCAGGCATCATGGCTAAACACACAACTGAGGCAACATGGTGAGGGACAAAAATAGAGAATAGGTGCTGCCAGGCTCTTATTAACGCGACTCCATCTCTTACGAGTGCGACCACGCACACTAATGCAATGGCCAGCAAACTAGACCGGGGCATTTTAAAGGGATGCGAGGCTACCTTTGGCCCTGCTTACCTGGCAGAGCCGCCGAATGGCCCTTTTGTTGGTCAGTTTGTACTTCCAGGTGAGGTAGAGGCTCCGCTGCTGCCGGGGGATGAAGGGCTTGGCACGCGGGTTCGGCGTCCACGAGTCCATGGCAGGAGCAGGAGGGCGCGCTCCCGCAGCTCACGGCGAGGCGCACACGATGTCGCGCCGGCGATGCCCCACCTCATCCACTCGGTCCGCTTCGTTCACGCTGCCATGTGCAGGAGGAAGGGGGGTTGGTTCAAGCCGCGTCCCACGGGCAGGTAGATACTTGAACCCTGACCACTACGCTCCTCCCTGCAAACACCAGCACACACGCTGTCTACAGGTATAACCCCAAAATTCGCACACAAATAAACCAATTCGAAATGCAGGCATCATGGAACTACCGCAGCTATACGAGCCTTTACATTTTAACCAGATAGCTGTCCATTCGAAAGCGTATCAATGTCTTTTTTTTAAATATCAGCCTGCGACATGACAGTGTTTGGGTAGTCAGTCCGCTCATAAATTCATTTCAGACAATTTTCTAAGTCCATTCAACGCGTACTAGCACATATACCAACTAACATGAACATACTAGATAATATGAGACGTGTGCTCCTTATGTTAGATGTTAGTAACCGTACCGGCGATATTAGCTGCAGGCAGTTGACGCTAACTACATGTTTCGAGGGACACCTAACATAATATACATCACTTCCGACCTGAAGGGCTCCGGCGCATGCTCTGGCATTACCGGCTCCTGGTTGCAATTTTGAAGTTCCCCGGAACAGCTTCGCTTTGGAAATTTGGTTCCTACATTAACCAATACTGTGGTTCGTCGGCTTAATATCAGTATTAGTTCACGGTCAGGCTTCTATAGCCAAACCTTTGGCCACTCGTTCCAATGCCAAATATTGATTTCAGTGGAACCAGCAGCGCAAACTTTGGCTGTGGACAATGTGAAACATGAATTGTTGAATTTTGAATGTCTTGTGTCTGGTTTTTGTGCTTTTTCCTGGGACCTCCTCAAAATTAAGCTTATAAAACAAAGACATCTGCTGTGAGGAGTGAAAATTAGGCTAAAAAACAGTCATATGTATAAGCACATAAAATTATAATGCTTGTACTGTAGTAATTATATGTTTGATAATATGACAATTATAGTACGTAATTAGGCTATACAATTATCAATTCTCTACCATAATAAACAGTTACAACCATAGGCAGCAAGGTAGTGCAATATTCAGAATTTATTAAATTTGCCTCATTCCATTATATGAGAAATATTGTGTGTAACCTTTAGCCTATTCTATCAATATTTATTGTCAAACTTAATGGTTTATATGTACTACCAATTTTGAGGAGTCTGCAGTAGTTTTTCTTATGAGTGTCTGTGGGTTGCCAGATGGATAGGCTGCACTGATTTGCTAGTCTGATTTTTTTCACCTTGCAGTGTTGTGTAGCATGTATTTCATCAGCAGAGCGGTCAAGGACTTTTGCCTAAAATTAGCTGCCCTAGTTTTATATTTTTGGCAAGCATTCAGATATTTTTATTTTTACATACATAGTCATTTGTTACAAAAACATGAAATTCAATGAATATTAAGTTAATGATTTTTCATCAGGTTAGCTCAGGCACTACCTAGAAGCAGTATGTCTGGGTAATACAACTCAGGGGCTGCAAGCCTAAAGCCAGCATGTTTGGTTAACTAGCTCTGGGACTGGCAAAAGCTGACAGGTAAGAATCAACATGGGGTGCTTTTCCCAAAAGCATAGTTGCTAACTAGGTACTGCTGGCTCACCAGCCTCAGTGTCGGCAACAACGGTTTTGCCTGCTGTACCTCGGGGGCCTGGTCCCCTGGCTGCAGCTGCAACTCTTTCACCTCTGCCTGAGATCCCACCAACAGGGTCTGCAGCCGCCGCATCCATGGGGTCTGACTCCCCAGCTGCCGCGTCCGTGACACTGGATTTCCCAACCACCATCTCTGTGGAATTTGCCACTTCAGCTGCAGAGTTTGCTTTGCCACCAGCGCCTGACCCACATGCTGCCACTATGCCAGCAGCTCCAGTCCGGCCTCGTCTGTCCCAACTACTGCTGCTTCACCACCAGCTAAGTTGCCAGAGCCTGTCTTTCCAGATCCTGGGTCTCCAGAGCATGTGTCTCTAGTGCTTGCTGTCCTGCTTGCTCCACCAGAGCCCACTTCCCCCACAGTGTCTCTGGAGCCCGGTCCCCCCACAGTGTCTCTGGAGCCCGGTCCCCCCACAGTGTCTCTGGAGCCCGGTTCCCCCACAGTATCTCTGGAGCCCGGTCCCCCCACAGTGTCTCTGGAGCCCGGTTCCCCCACAGTGTCTCTGGAGCCCGGTCCCCCCGCAGTGTCTCTGGAGCCCGGTCCCCCCACAGTGTCTCTGGAGCCCGGTTCCCCCACAGCATCTTGGGTGCCCGATTCCCTCACAGCGTCTCCAGAGCCCAGTTCCCTGGCCTTTTTGTTAGCACTCACCTCACCAGCTTCTGCTTTGCTGGCAAGCCCGGCGGAGTGGGTGGGATCCTACGGGCATCGCTCTGGGTCCGATATTGTGGGTCCTTTATCCAGTCCTGTGCCCATGTTTGCCTGGAAGTAGGGTAATGCTCTGGTCCCACATTTCCTGATCCCAGGGCAGTCACCAGCCTCAAGCACAGTGTCAGACAGGATCAGGACGACTCTCCATATCCTGGAAAGGACACCAGGGACACAGACCCTGTTTTCGCCGCCCGAGCTCCTTGTGGCCCAGCTTACCCACATCTACAGGTCCATCTGAGCATGCCTAGGTGTCAGTGTCTCCAGCTCCATCTGTCTTAACTCTGGCTGCAGCCTCACCTCTGCACCTCACCTCAGAGCCATCCCAAACATCCACATCAGCCAGACCTTCAATGGCATATACAGTACCCTAACCCTCCTTTTGGGTCTGTCCATCCATCTCTCCTTCCCTCAAGGTTTCCATCCACTTTCCTTAATGGGATACCCTTGGTCCTTATCTTATTTTTCTGCTCCCCAATACAAAACCCTTATCAAACACGAAGTACTGCAGTGATGGATCAATTGGAAATGTGAAAACCATTAAATGTTTTAATAAGACATGGACTTATAGGTATATTTATTTACTTAAGTCAAAGATAATTCCGTGTGCTTAGTTTTTGCAGTACAGATTGCTGTGTTGCAGGATTAGCCTGAATCACCATTACGAGACTATACAGGCAGAGCGATACCGGAGCGGGCACGACACCTGAAACTTCACATTTTGTATGAAGCCCAGTGGGGATTAAGCGGTTACGATAATGGATGGATGGGTTAATTTAATGCGCTGGTCTTTGAAATACAGCAAAACACGTACATTTTCAAGATCGTGTTTGTGAATGTTGATTAAATACTGATGCAAAGTTGGCGATTTCACTATATATATATATATATATATATATATATATATATATATCTCCACGTATATACCTGCTCCACGTATTCATTACCAAATTGTCACATCTACCGCTTCTATGAACTAATGAAGGGATCAACTTAATGTCGAGCAGGATTGAGCTCAGCCTATTGGTCCAGTTCTCCACAACAGGCTGAGTTTCTCATGTGGCCCCCTGGGGAAAATTGCCTACGCCTGCTCTAACTTAAGTGCACATTTTTAAAAGTATGCTTAGTTTAGTTTATCCGTATAATGTGAAGTTAAACCGGTTGCTTGAGATTAACAACAATGAAACGACCACGAACGTAACGCCTTACTGACGTATACAGATTTATGGTGCGTTCGTATGGTGCGTTCGTTTTTCTCTCGGAACTCGGAAATTCCGAGTTGAGTGACATCACGTCCGACAATCTCCCGTTCGAGCTACCCACATCTCGGAACAAACATGGCTGCCTCCATGAACACGTTGCTGTGTGTTGTTGCTTTATATTTTAGCAGATTTGGAGTTTTTCAAATGAAGAAAATGGAGAAATTTAGATTTTTCCGAGAGACAAACAAGAAACACGAACTAGTCAAACCACATTAAAAGCTTTATAAAATATTTTAGTACATTCATAGCGATATTCTTCTTTCGAACAGTAAATAAACTACAAACAAACCAAGTCGCCATGTTGAAATTACGTCACAAGGGCAACTCGGGCAACAAAATCTTATCCGACTTCAACGTCATAAAAGGGGCGTGTTTCCGACGGGAAGTGATGTTTTTCGTGACGTATCGTGACGTTTCCATCCGAGTTCCGACTTGGAGAGAAATAATCGAACGCACCATTAGTTCAGATACACACTCTGCACCTTTATGACGTAAACGGGAGTGCCTGTGTTTTGCAAGCATACAGTACCTCCTTCCTTCTTCTGGGTTATGCTAGCGAAAAGCGATCAGAGCTAAGAAACACTTTCCTCTGGTCAAAAATATTATCATGGAGTTTATGGGAGCGCTGGGTTGGAGCGACTTGTGCACATTTGCGCTGTTCGGGATGCTATTCCTGTTTTTCGCGGAGATCTTCAGGATCACGTTTCCCACAAGCAACATTCCTCCGGGTCGCAAGCCGTTTCCTTTTGTGGGAAATGTTCCGCAAATAATTAAAGATCCAATGAAGTTCATAAATGAGGTAAGACAATTCAGCAGACACGCCGCATAGTCTTAGAAATGTGTCTATAGGCGTGTGAAAATTACATTTATAGAATGTAGCCTATTGAATCCAATTTTCCTATATTTTGAACATTCTGTAAGAAACATTCGAGCCAATACCAGTTTAGACAGTTATTCCTTTTGTATAATTGCTGTCTTTTTGTACAGTTTGCAGTTTTAGCAATGATAGCGTTGATTTGCCACATTTGACAATTTTGTTGTCTATAAATATATTAATTTTTCAGCGCTAACTTTTTCAGTACACAGTCAACACAATTAACAATTACAGGAAATTCCTCTTCATCATAGAATAACTCATTCATAACCAGACCATAAAGTGCTGCATACTATAGCCTATATATTTCCAAATACTATAGTTGAAAATATTTAACTCTCATATACATATAATACCATAGAGTACTATTAACACCATAATAGTAAAACTTCGGAGCGGTTGGGATCGTATTTATTGAAAGTTGATAACAGATTAATGTCTTTTTAAGCGCAAAAATGAAGAGCAGCGACACTTGTTTGCTTAATTATTCATGAAACTATTAATGGGTGTGACTGTGGGAGGTGATTAAGTGAAAAGTATATAGCGGCTTTTCAGAAACAGAGAGGCCTGGCTAGTCATGTCCAGAATACGCAATTTCAGCACCAAAGGGGACATACGACGCTGAAATTGGTTTAACAAAATAACAACGAACAACAGAAATTTTCCACACCAAAATTTACAAATCAGTTTTGCAGAATAATTAAATAACTAAACTAAATAACTAAATCAAATTAAAATTAATAAAATTACATTGACCAAATATAAAAAATAAGTGAATTATTATTATTATTATTAGTAGTAGTAGTTGTAGTAGTAGTAGTAGTATCATTTAGCTTAGTTATGTAATTATCATGCAAAACTGTTTTGTAAATTTTGGTGGAAGAATTTTCTGTTGTTTGTTATTATCATGAATGTATGTTTGCTGACCCTCAGCAGCTGGTAAGTGTATTACTAATTGTAACACATGACATTGAGCTCTCAGATGGCATTATTTAAAAACAAATACACTATAATACATTGCAGTAGTGTATATACATATTCAATTCAATTGAATTCAATTCGATCTATACAGTGCTTTTTCACAATGTTACGTTGTCACAAAGCACTTATTGTACTTTTGCTGCTGCACATTGGTGGCTCATTTTTGGCAGTATATCATAAGCTTTGATGAGTCTGTATTTGTCATTGAGAAAAAGACTTTCCTGTTAGGATTTCTGTGCACGAACCATTAGCCTCAGGTAGCTAGGCAGACACAGATGGGTTACTGCAAGGCACAGCAGACTTATTAAAGTAAACTAAAAAAAATATGTTTAAAAAGATCCAAAATGGACACTGTAAGCGGAGTACTTGATTACTATAAGCATAGTATTAGAATTGGTACAGGCAGGGGCGTTGCTAGAGATTTTGGGCCCCATGAAAGCATATCATATTAGGCCCCCCAGTCCAAACCAATCCAGTTATTTTCCTAATTTTTTAGGGCCCCTGTCATTCAGGGGCCCTTGGAATCGTCCTAGCTTTCCTCCCCCTTACGGCGCCCCTGGGTACAGGTATGATTCTGTCCCAAGCTTTTGTATCCATATCAGCGGTTGATCACTGCAAGCATGATCACTTTAAGCCACTGTACATTCAAAGCCACTGTACATTCAAAGCCACTGTACATTCAAGGGCCACTGTACATTCAAAGCCACTGTACATTCAAGGGCTACTGTACATTCAAGGGCCACTGTACATTCAAGGGCCACTGTACATTCAAAGCCACTGTACATTGAAGGGCCCATGTCAGGTGCTGAGCCCCATGAATCTGCCTGGTATCCATGCCCCTCCAACACGCTTGTCTTCCACCTCCAGGACTGTGTCTTTGATTCTAACACTGCATGTGAAGGAAATATGTGCCAGTGTCTTGTGGGTTCCCTGGTTCTTCCCCTGGTTCACAGATGTGTGGTTTAGGTGAATCTGTCTCTGTATGGTATGTGTGTGTGTGTGTGTGTGTGTGAGCGGGTATACCTTACCTTATGGGGACATAATGTCCCCACAATGTGATGAATACCTGTTTTTTTGTCCCTTACGGGGACCAGTTTCCAATTTAATAAAAATCTGATTGACTGTAATGAAAAAAAACTAAAAATGCAAAAACTCTTGTATTTTGCTTGGTTACTTATGGTTATGTTTAGGGCTGGGTAGAGGTTAAGGTTGTCATAGTTCGCATTAGCATTTTTCCCATAGAAATGAATGAGCGGTCCCCATAAGGATATGATTACAGGTCTGTGTGTGTGTGTGTGTGTGTGTGTGTGTACATACACAGTGTCACTTGGTAAAGACTCTATGGATAATTAACACTGGAGTAAGAAGAATTATGATTAACTTCAGTTGTGATGCTTGGCAATCTTCAAGGTATTTTATGCAATTAAAAATAATGTTTAATGTCTTTGACAGATGAAAAATTATGGAGAAATCAGCTCTGTGTACTTGGGTCGTAAGCCATCCATATCATTGAACACCATTGGTGTTGCTAGGGAAGCTTTGTTGCAGAATGGATCTGATTTTCTGGGAAGACCTTTAATACCAGTTCTAGACTGGGTCATCCATGGAAAAGGTAATTATACACACAGGCAGCTGTGGACTCTGTTTTGTACCTAGAGCTGATTGGCAACCTGTACAGCTTTTCTTGACATTCAGTCCTAAAAGGTAATTCCATAAAGTTCATCTGCTTCAGTTATTAAGCAATTTGTTGCAGATCACGACTAGTAACTTGCCATGTTCTATGTACTGTACATACTGTATATATCAGTCTTTTCTCTACCCAGTCCTTGGGGACCTTCTGACAGCCCAAAGAGACACTCTGCTTCCTCCCCCTTCCCAACATACCCATCCCAGGAATTTGCCGTTATTGATTGTTTGGTATCGGTATGCCGGAGGGAACAAAAATGTGGACTGTCTGAGGGTCCCTGAGAACTGGGTTGAGAAACGTTGGTATGTATATTACAGGGAGGATGATGTCTCAGTAGCAAAGGCTCTTCAAGAGTATCTGTGAGGAATTCCCATGTACAAACCGCTCAGCAAATACCCTTTAGTGAGTTAGGTTTGTTTACGTGTGTCTATGTCTGTGCACATTTAAATTCTGTTTTTGTTCTTTAAACTCTGTTTTCTACAGAAGGCTTCAGTCCCTCTGTGAACCTGATCAGTCAAGTCATTATTAAAAACAGATCGATGGATTTGTAGCTCCCAGTCATGTCTGAACAACAGGAAATTGTTCGGCTGTGCCTAATTATGTCATCATCATCCTAAGGGTTTCCTGTTTTCATAGGGATTGTAATGGCCAATGGTGACTCTTGGAAGCAACAAAGGAAGTTTGCCTTGCACACGCTGCGGAGTTTTGGATTTGGCAAGAAGTCATTGGAGGAGCGTGTTTCCGAAGAGGCTAAATGTTTGGCTGAGGAACTGGAGAAACAGGGAGGTATGGATTCTGGACACCTGAAATAATGGCTAATGAAAGGAAAAGGTACAATTCGGTACCTTAAGCTCATCCAAGGTCCAACAAAACACATCATTAACTTGTTATTTAATCATCACTATTGATATTTTTGTACTGTTTAAATCCATACTGTAAGGTATAGCAGATAACCTTGATTGTCTGTTATCCAGACAAAACATGAAAGAATAGCATGTCAAGCAACATTATCCTTACCCTCACATTACTTAGATCTTTTTAGGGAAATAGTTGAAAATTCAGAATGATCCTTATTATATTAATTCTGATGCTTTTTAGGAATATATGAGAGGATTGTATATTAGACGTCTGTTTTGCAAAAAAGTTCTACTAAGTAAATGAAATGTCAATTTCCATAATATATTCACAATAAATAATGTAATGTGACAGTGAATGTACTTGTACATTTACAGTGTCAAAGGACTCTGTACATTTACTGTATTGTATCCCATATTTCTCTGAAAATACAAGAAAAATATTACAATTTACAAAGGAGCATTAAAACTGTTCATGGACATTCTTGTCTTTAAATCTCAGATTCCTTAAATAGCCCCAATTGCCTGAATAATAGCTTCGCAAACATAACGAGTTTCAGTAGGGAATCACCCAAGCTGCCTTCGCAGGTATCGGGCCTGTGTTTGGACTAAATTATCGAAAACTGTTAATAGGCAAGTGTCTACAGTTAAAAATATGTATTATTATGATTTAGGCGAAGTCAAACTTTTGACTGATGCTGTACGTAAATATGCCTGAAAGTGTAGTAATGCATGATGCTGTATTACAGAAAAGCCCTGTGACCCTCAGTTCTGGCTCATGAACGCCACGTCCAACATCATCTGCTCCATCGTTTTTGGGAACCGGTTTGATTATGATAATGAGCGGTTCTGTCACCTTCTGGACATTGTGAACAAAAACATCATCATGACAGGTTCTGTGATTGGCCAGGTATTATTTATATAATTATTTCATTCTACATCTCAACCTAGAGAAAGATGTTAACCGTCTTTTTGTCCTGTGTGTTGCTATATTTAGATAAATAGAATTGTGGCTATGTGTGTGTAGTATGTACAGTATAGGCAGTTTTTGTTAGCAAAAAATATAGATTTGGGTTTCCTGCATTTAAACATAGCTTATTCAAAAGTCATGCAGGACAAAACCTCCTTTATGGTGGAGCTGAGTTTTTGTATTAAATGGCTGCTTAATGGATGACAGAATGAGCTCTTTGTCCTTCAGATCTTCAACTTGGTTCCCATCATTAAGTACCTCCCTGGACCCCAGCAACAGATTCAGCGTAATGCTAAAGAGTTTACTGCCTTTATCAGCGAGGCTGTGAAGGAACATCACACGACACTGGACAGAGAAAACCCCAGGGACTTTATTGATGCCTATATTATGGAGATCGAAAAAGTAAGTCAGAAGCCAGCCAGGGTTGTGGGGTTGTTGGTGCTCATGCCTCTGTGTGTGTGGAGTTCTCCACGTGTTCCTCTGGGGTCCCTTCCTCTACCTGGCCTCAGGATGCTGTAGGGTGTGTCTGTGGGTTCCCTGTGATGACCTTCAAGAATTGATATAGTCTCCTCTGTACAGACTGACTGGCTCCACGTTTTTCATGACCATGCACTGAATAACTGCTTATACAAATATAGTATATATCTGCATGATGCTGCTTTATTGAGTGTTTTTCCTTTGCTTCCTCTCATTTGGAACAGCAAAACTCAAACCCCGAGTCAAGTTTTTGTGAGGAGAACATGGTTTTTTCAGTCGCTGATCTTTTCCTGGCAGGAACAGACACCACCTCCACGACTTTGCGGTGGGGTCTGATGTTTATGCTGGACCATCCTGACATTCAAGGTACCAAGTTCCTATAGTGAAGCACTGTGTTGATAAAATGTGGATAATAGAAAACTTCAAAACAACATGGTGTGACTATTTTAGAAAATGTATGTGACTACATTTAGAAAATACATCTAACTTGAAACTGAGGATTAACATTTAAAAGATGACAAATACCTTCTGTCCCTTGTAAAGTCTACTTTTGATTGTGTATTAAATTTATCAATGCACCGATAATCCTGTTTTGCAACAGAGGATGGAGTGATTTCTAGTGCAGTGTTTCACAACCCAGTCCTCGGGGAACCCCGGACAGTCCATATTTTTGCTCCCTCCCAGCTCCCAGCCAATCAGAAACACTGAATACCTGGTACAGGTGTGCAGGGAACTGAGAGGAAGCAAAAACGTGGACTGTCCAAGGATCCCCGAGGACTGGGTTGTGAAATACTGTTGAATACTAGTGTCTGAAAGGTTGCTTACTTGCTGTCTGTTACAGCAGGCTGCAAACACAATTGCCATCAAATTTAAACCCCACCTTATTTAAATATTCACTTATGGCTTTTGGTTTTTTTATGGCACCCTAATTGATGGGTCTCACTTATTCTCAACTCACATTTTCAATGAATGTTTTGTAATTATGTGTGTTGCTGTGTATTTTCTATGTCGGTTTAATATCTGCCGTTTTAAACGTGGCTGGGAATGTTACCTGAATAAGCAGGATCTGCACCCACAAATGCATTTTCTACCTTCCTCCAAAACGGTAGAGAGGTGCCACCAGGAGATCGCCGACGTCATCGGCTATGAACGCTGTCCCTCCATGGAGGACAGGGCCAACATGCACTATGTTCTTGCCACCCTGCACGAGATACAGAGGTTTGCCAACATCACGCCGCTGGGAGTGATGCGCGGCGTCACCACGGAGACACAGCTACGGGGCTTCAGGCTGGCCAAGGTGAGCAGAAAAACCCAATTTAGACCAAACCCAAATCAAGTCTCTTTATTTGTCACATCACTTGGCACTTGGTAGACTGCCGGCAGGGACAGATTAACTGATCTGGAGGCCCTTGGATGACAGTAAGACTTTAGTGTAACATCTGGGAATGATTAACGCAGTTTTAAGACACGAGGAGCCTTCACTTTAAATGCAACTCAATGAATGCTTCAAATGACTGACCATGATGGGTCACAATGACCTAACCAAGACTAGAAACAAGAATGAGGGAATGTAGAGGCTTCACATGGACATTAAACGAGGGTAACACTGAGGAACATATATCATCCAACCCCTTCAACACGACAACATGTTCAACATAGCAAATATTGTTATCTGATTAAATCCTCGTCTTGCCCTACCTACTGGCTCCTCTCCCTTGCTTTCCGGCTCGCTTGCCCCGCACCCTGACATAACATAAAAGACCAAGACGGGAATAGAGAACAGGTAGCGATTCATAGACACCAGTAATGAGGGCTAAGCAAGGGACAGGTGTGGATCATTATGAATGAATGAATGAATGAATGTTATATTCATATAGCGCTTTTCAAGACACCCAAAGTGCTTTTTACCAAACCAATGGGGAGCCACTTCATTAACACATAACCAAGTACTTAGGACTATGATACTAGGATATCCAGGGAACACAGGATATAGATATAAACTAGATACAGTTCTAAATACTCAACTAAAGTAGACAGGGTTTAATGATCATGTAGACATTAAGGGTCAGGACATAACTAAGGTGCAGAAACACAGGGAATATAATATATACATAAGGTAATTCAAAACAGAGTCCTGGGACATAAACTACCCAAAAGTTCACCATTGTTGAGGTTGACCTCAGCTTCCCAGTGGTTTGGGTTGAATGGCCATCAGCTGGACGCTCAGTCCATTCAGCTAAACGGTAGTCCCAGAAACAGGGAGAATTACGGGGACTGTGACTAGGGAATTAACCTAAAGAAACATAAGGGATGGAACAGGATAGCAAGCGACACCCACTGGCCAAACAGGGAACTCAGGGAAACAACAGACAGAATGGGACAAGACAAGGACTGATCCTGAGAACCAGGAGGTGTTCTGCCAAGCTGTTGAGCTATTTTTTGATCCAAAATAGAAAAGAGGATAATACAATGCAATAATATCAGTCAATAACCAGCAGTACAGCTTGCTTTGCTCTATCAGCATAACCATTCCAATTCTCCAAGGCGGGGTGGGGCCTCTGGTATTTGCTAGGACCTAAGGCTATAGCCAAGTAGCCTATGCATTAATCTTTACAGGAGAGTGAAAAACTTGTTCCACAACAGCAGTGTTGGACTATTGGAAGTGTATAAAAATGGTAAATATACAACATACTAATAATAAATAGTGTGACTGGTATATATACAGTGCTCACAGAAAGTCTTGAGACGTTTGCGTAATTCAGTAAAAATATTGCAAGTTTATTGGTTTTATAACAAAAAACATTACTTTATTAACTTATTTACAAAGATACAGTATCACTTCAGAAACAATCAGTAGTTCTTAAGCAAAACGTTATTTTTAAGTAGTAATAAATTGAAACCCAGGTTATAGTTCTGAAAGAGCTGTTCCGAGTTAAAAAGTTCATTGACAAGCAGTTTCATTGCATGTTTTTAAATTGGTAACATCGCAGTAACCTGTCACGCCCCGCTCCGTCCGATCCTAATGTGTGCCACGCCCACCTCGTTACCTCGTGTTCTGCCCTGATTGTGATCACCTGTGTCCTGTTATGTCTGGCTAGTCTTTTGTATTTAGTCCGTGTCTCAGTTAGTTTCCCCAGATCCGTCATTGTAGTGTCATGCGTTATTCCTGGTTTGTTCGTCCTGTCATCTGATTAAATCCTCGTCTTGCCCTACCTACTGGCTCCTCTCCCTTGCTTTCCGGCTCGCTTGCCCCGCACCCTGACATAACCTAAAAGACCAAACATTTTTGTTTACTATCCCTTTGGGAGCCAGTGACTACAATTGTAATTAATAGCAAAATGGCAGTCAAAAATATTATTACACTTAAAAAGAAAATGTTTGTGCAAAAGATATGTGCAGATATGTTAGACGTTACTCGTCAATGGATGTTTGTTATGAAACCAATAAACCTGCAACATTTTTACAGAACTAAACAAGCACCCCAAGACTTTCTGTGAGCACCGTATATCCTATGACTGCAAAGGCGTAGCTTTGGTTTGAACATTATGCCGGTTGAGGTCTCTGCCTATTTAGCGGGAGACATGAGTACTGGGGGGTTGTATTACCTGGCTTTTATTTTTGGGGGAGTTACAACCTCCCCTCCCAACCTTCCCCCCTGTTATTTACCCCTATGGATGACTGGATAGTAATGTGGCCCATTACTAACGCACAAATAAACTGATACAGCCAACCATAATAACCAGCAAAATCAAAATCACTGGATATTCCCTGCAGTGAACTGTGCTGATCACAGTCATTCTCTGTTCTCCAAGTGGCGTGCAGACTATTCCTCAGTGGACCATTCAGCATGACGATAACATAACCCCCAGTGCTCCATCTGATAGCAGGAAGGTCGGCTCTTTGGCATTCCTGAGGGAGACACGTCCCAGCAAGCGTTTCATAGGTGGTTCTAGACCCAATTTGGTGGGGGCTTCACTCCCCCTATCTTTAGTCTCAGCCCCCTTGAAAAATATTTTTTCTAAAACCACTTTGCAATTTGTCTTGTATCCTCATTTTGTAACCCCCCCCTTCGGCAGACTTAATCATGAGGGATGTCCCCCCCCCTCCTCTCAGGAAAGAGGGGGGGGGGCTTCTTCATTTCCTGTATTTTCAGCCTCAGTCCCCTTGAAAAATTATTTTTCTTAAACCATTTAGTGATTTGTTTTGCATCCTTGTATACATTTTGTGAAACAAAATTGTAAATATTCAGAAATGTCCTTGTACAAACTACAATACTTTAGGTTTGTTTTTAATATATACTTGGAGAGTAATCTTTTTTCATAAGGGATTCAATTTTATATTCATGGGCTGCTACATCACTGTTTCTTTATTAGTGTACATCTTTTATGTATTTTATCTGGCTCTGCAAATGTGATGAATCTGCTTCTGTCTCCTGCAAAAATAAGTGAATGTGTGCCGCGTGTCTGCGCTTGTCACCAGTTAAAAAGATCACCACTTAAACCGTAACACGCAGGCACATGGAGACCGTAACTTTACCCAGGGGGGCAAAATTAACTATTGGGGTCAGCAGTATAAGAGGGGCCTGAATTTTTGCCCATAGGAAGAATGGCAGTTCAAAGATACAGGGATATTCTCATTCTGTCAATTTTGGAATGATGATGTATTCTTCATTGTACTTTTTACTTACAGGGAACTCAGGTGTTTGTTAACATGACTGCAATTTTCACCAACAAGGATCATTGGAAGTTTCCAAATGAATTTAACCCTGGCAACTTCCTCGATGATGAGGGAAAATTCCTGAAACATGAGTTCTTTGTGCCTTTCTCTTTGGGTGAGAAAAACTTTACTGTGCGACTTTGCAGACTGATCTCAGTGCCTTACCTTCCCTGGTGCATAGCCCTGAGTGCGTCAGTGCCTTACCTTACCTGGTGTGTAGCCCTGTGTCAGTGCCTTACCTTGCCCAGTGCGTAGCCCTGAGTGTGTCAGTGCCTTACCTTGCCCTGTGTGTAGCCCTGAGTGTGTCAGTGCCTTACCTTGCCCAGTGTGTAGCCCTGAGTGTGTCAGTGCCTTACCTTGCCCAGTGTGTAGCCCTGAGTGTGTCAGTGCCTTACCTTGCCCAGTGTGTAGCCCTGAGTGTGCTGTCATGCCTTGTAAGATCCTGTTTCCCATCTCAGGCCCCAGGCTGTGTCTCGGCGAGCAGCTCGCCAGGATGGAGCTCTTCATCTTCTTCACGTCGTTGCTGCAGCGCCTTCGATTCACCCACCCGCCGGGGGTGACATCCAGTCACAACGATGGGATCTTTGGCCTTATTAGAAGCCCTAAACCCTTCAAGCTGGTGTGTCAGAAGCGGGAATTCTGAAGCTGAGCTACAAATTAAGTCTAATCTGTCTCGTTCCCGCAGGGACTTGAATGCACTGTACTTCAGGAGACTTGTCTGGCAAAGTAGCACATATCTATATTACTATATTTGGTTACTAAAATGTATTATCACTAATTACCAATATTATTAGAAATTACTCCAGACACCAGGTTGTATCATGTTCCAAGATGTCGTTCTAGACCAGGGGTTTGGCAACTTCCAGAAAACCAGTTGCAGAATTTACCTGGAAACAGAAACTTATTCTAATGGTTTGGCAACATTTTTTATATGACACCAACAGCAAAATGTAAACAAGCAATAAAATATTTTCAATGCTTCATGAACTTTAGAATGAAAATGGCATGTCCTTGATTTTCTTAATTGCATTCTTATTTTTAGGAGTCCAAGTAGCAGTACCATTAACTCCTGTTTTCCTGTTGGTTTTATTTTTGAAATCGTTAAACAGGTGTTCTGCTACTTACTGTATTCAGCATGGGCTTTCTGTGTTTTTTAATGTCCCGAAACGCCACAAAACTGGCAGCGACTATGCTAACTCCAAAGCTGTCTGAACAATGAAAGTTTGCAATCTTGCTTGAAAATCAAAGTGTGTTCGTACAGTCCAGATATCGAGAGGACATCCAAAGAAATGAGGGCACAAAAATTACATCAAACAGTCAATTTACATATTCTGTGTCTGCAACTGTATTAATGGTGTATTTTAGGCAACCACAATATTTATGTTTTTTCCCCCATAACACCACAAATACATAGTAGTGACAGTAATCAGATAAGTATTTAGATAGAACCCATAAAACAACAATACCGAAACCTAACAGCACAAACCAAAGATCGCCCAATGCATCCTGCCTCTGTCCTTCTACCAAGCTCAGCAGACCATCTTCCCCAGCATCCAGACCAATCACACAAAACCCCTCATTAACACAATCATCTCCCTTGCCCTACCCTATTCCCTATGGTCTGAATTGCCTTGCCCATAGGATGTTTCGACTGAATTTTAACAACGAATTGCAAATGTCAGATGGAAGGTGAACATAATTAAAAATTAAATATTAAAATTAATAATAATTTTAAAAAGCAGGCAGTGGTGTTTTAATGGTTAGTGAAGCGCACTTGTTATTGAAAGATTGCTGGTTTGAATCCCCGACCAGCAAGGCACCACTGAGGTACCCTGAGCAAGGTACCGCCCCCAAGCACTGCTCCCCGGGCGCTGAATTAGCTGCCCCCTGCTATGTCACAACATCACATATGGGTTAAATGAAGAGGATACATTTCGTTGTTGTGCACTGTGTACTATGGTGTGTCAAAAATGACCACTGATCACCTAATTCTAACAATGGACCACAAAGCTTTAAAAAATTGCTAATTTCCTTTAAGAACTGAACAAACCCTTTCATGAGGAAAGACCCTGAAAATCATTCTACACCACAATGTTACATTAGGAGGGGTCTCCTTAATCCAATTTACCAACACACACTTATGTGCTATCAGCAGAAGTTTATCAAGCAGTGTATATTTCACAGGGTGGAAGGACACATCCTTAAATGGAAGTCCAAGCACAAAAAGCCCTGGGTCTATTTGATTCTTGTTTTACAGTTTTTCTGAATTGCTAAAACACTAAACTTCAGTCTTGGAACCGAACTACCAATTGCCAAAACTCCTTTATTGAATCAGTCACTAGTTTTGTGAAACTTTAAACAGTGCTCACCTCGTTAGACACAATTTGCAGATCTGAGTCACCCTTTTTGCAAAACTATAAACACATTCTCATTCATCAAAACTATGCAGAACTTAGATGCAAAACAGAACACGCAGGTTGCAAAACTTAAGCACAGCCGGAGCACAGTAGACATCATTTAAACACAATGACTCAACTCATATGTTTACATATGTTTCTAAATATTAGAAGAAGCCAAAGAGTGACTAGAACATAGAATACATGGCATAGATGGGATGAATTTTGATGTCAAGGTACAAATGAGTCACATAAAGGATTCTTCCCGCATCGCCCAGCAAGGGAGAGCATTTCCTGTGATGTAGACAAAGTTCTCTGTCCAGACCCAGCCCTGAGACATGCAGAATGAATATTCTTCCTTGACTTTGGCTTGGCAGTTGCAAAACATTTTACTGTAATGTGCCTCTCATATGGATTCAATGTGCAAAAGACCACATCCACAGCATCCAACTTCTCTACATGCCAGCAAGAGTTTTGACTGTTTTTAATTTTATGCTTTAGTGTGTAATGACTGTTCAGTAGTGTTTACTTAACTAAATGGTTTGATGCATGATCTGAAAGCAGCGTTTGCTTCTGAGCAAAGATAACATAGTTTTGAGAAGATTGTTTGATTTTGCAAGATGAGTTTTGTGAGTGTAGCTTGAATTTTAGGGTTCAGTGTTCTGAGAAAAGGAGATGGGAGTTTAGGAAATTCATTTTAGCAGTTCAGTAAAACTGTAAGAATACTAATCTCTGTGCCAATACAGGACCAGAAATGTAAAATGTGTGTGCATTCCCAAAACAAGTAGAAATATTAATGGCATAGAGGTCTATCCTGCTTCACATAACTGGAGTAATATGAAACCTGTACAATATTTTGTGATCCACACAGACAGGAGAGGCACACAACCTCCTAGGACATCAGAGAAAACAAATCCAGCATCGTTTTGAAAAGTTTGAAATTAAAAGATAATTAATAACCTTTATGATATTGCTGATACCAAATACTGCTTTTATGGAACTCACAGACACAAACCTTTGACTTGAGTATAATTTAAATCAACAAAAATATACAGGTGACTTCATTTTTACAGCTCATATTATGCTGTCTTCATTCTGTTACAGGTCTGTAAACTGTCTAATGATCACGCTCACAGTTCTTGTATTGTAATGATGAATTATGATATCGGTTATTGTTGTAAGTAATGCTGAAACAGTATCTATTAAAAAATCAAATTTGCAAGGCTTGTAAACATTCTACACAACAATGAATCTAACAGAAATTTACATCAAACATCTTAAAACAAATGCTCAAATTTTCCAAAAAAAAATCCTAAATAATTTCTACCAGAGCTTTATGTTTTTTTTTATAAATTATGACCATTTTGCTTATGATTTTGTATGACATCAGTACACAATATACACACCACTTATGTTTAGTTAATGAAAGGTGTGCCTGTTCCAGAAAATAAAGGGATCCAGCCATTTTATTCTCTGTATAACTCTGTTAACTATATTGCAGTGAGGTTCTATTGACTAGCTGGATAGACACGGGTCTGGACACCAATGCCCCTCAGTACCAGCACATCCGTCAGGGAAGCTAGCAGATGTTTAGTAGACACAAAGCTATTCAAAAGAACTGGGTCATAAATCATAGGGCAGGACTTCCGAACCTGTGACAATAGGACACCTTTTGGATGTTGTTCCAGAAGGTTCCGAAGAGATTCCTTCAGCTTGGCTTTCTGATCATTCTCTACAGGAGCCGGCTCTGGTAAGCGAGCCCCAGATTCAGATGATGTTGTAACTAAAGGACAGAATTGGTCTGTTTAATTAATTGAGTTCATTTGTGTTAATCTTGTGAACAAGGTAGACATACAACTAAGAAATCAGCATTTATAGGCTACTACTTTGAAATCATACTATCAAGCCCTCACACAAAAACAGCAGCTTAATCTATACAGGTATGTACCCTGATTCACCGAGAATACTTCCAAACTTAAAAAAAAAACAATCTATGAGAACCTAGAACCTTAGCTACAAGGTACAACTTAATTTACCCACAGATCAAGCTATACCAAACAGGTTGGGCTGGATTCGGATCTGTTTAAGTTATGCACAAAGAATAAAACTGAATAACGTACCCTTATTCAGTTCTTGCCGAGTTCGATGCTGAAGAGCATCTCTATATGACTTGGTTCTAGGTTCCATTCCAGGCTTTGTAAAACCTGACAAACCAAGCCAATGTAATTGAAAATTCAGCAATGAATCCATAAATATTAATAAATTATAATGTGTATACTAGCGTTTTCCTTATAGGCTACATCCTGGTTACGTGCTCGTACACACAGTAATATATAACGCAATGTGCATCAATGTAACATGTAAAATGCAGAACATATAGTGATATTAAGCTTATAACAAAATTTTAAAATGTAATTTCGAAATATGTTTATTGATTATGAGTAAACCATACCTTCGACTGGTCCGATCGATCTTCCGCTCCACGTCTAGTAAAGCTCCGCACTTTCGGTTTCGTTTACGCCGAAACCCGGTGTGTTCACATGCTGAGTCTATTGTGGTTTTTCCTTCCCAGCCAATCAGGAGTTGCGTAGATCTTAAGATTCAGTCTTTATTGCAACAGCGATGTGACAACCAAGGCCGGACACTCTGCAGTGTTGGCTTACCCTGATTCTTACGTACACTTTTCTTATCTCTTAATAGTTAACCGTCACAAGGCATGTCCTAAGCATAATCTTTCCCTCGACCTTTCGCCACCATTATATTCTTCTCTTTTGGAGTTTTGGTATTCCCCGCCCACGTGGGATCCATCCATCCATCTATCCATCCATATTCTGTAGTGAATCCAGGTATTGTGGGACATCTGGTAATGTGGATAAGCTTTGACAAGTTTATTTCCCGGCAATAGTAGATCCAGTTGGAATAATTGTTATTGAGAGCTAGACATGATCAAAAAACAAAAAAACAAAAACATGATTTTATTGATCTGAGGTCACAGTTCGGGGCATGGCAAGCATTTTACAGGAACATCCCTCAGAAATCACTGGGTAAGGTGAATGACATGTGCTTTTGATTGTATTGAAATTACGGTTATAAATTTGTTATAAAAAATAAATTGTACCTCATTTTTATGGAATTATATCTATGATATACTAGTGGATTAAAATAAATACTTTTAATTGACAGTTATATTTAATTTTGTAAACAGTGTTATGTTTCATCTGCCCCACATTACCAAGCTAGTTAGGTAAAGCAGGACAGCATGTTCCAGGTAATATGTCTCCCAAGAAGAGTGAAAGTACGGATTTGACAGGATGGAGTCCCAACTCCTAAATATATTCAATAAGTATACATAATGTACAAAATATAAATAATCTTTATTTATTTATTTATGAAATGGGAGACTCCTTTCCATCGACCTCATGACCCCCCCATGCTCTCCCAATCCGTCTACTGACTTCATAGGAGGAGTCACCAGAGACATGAATGTCACTGCCGAGGTCAGTGAACCTCTCGACGCTGCTGACGGCTGCGCCCAAGAGGTCATTAAAGGCCTGGATCTTGGTTTTTATCCAGGCCACTTGCAAGCCCAGACACACGAGAGCTCCGATCAGAGCCTCCACTGACTCACCGAAGACCACAGCACTGTCTGCAAAGTCAAAATCAGTGGCTCTTTCTTCACCAACAGATGCCACAGAGCTGCTGGACCCCACGACCCTGCCCATCACCCAGTCCATGCAAGCATTGAATAGAATAGGAGCAAGAACACACCCCTGATGAACCACATAATCAACTAGGAAGAATGCAAGGGCTCTGACTCCATTCGGCACGGCACTCACGATACCAGTGTACAGGCTGGGCATGACGTCCAGCAACTTCAGGGGGATCCCCACAAAGTCTCAGGTTGTCCCACAGGGCTTCTCAATCAACTGAGTCAAATGCTCTACAAAAATCAACAAAGGCTGTAAAGAAACTCTGCTAATATTCACGTTTGCGCTGAATGAGAACCCTCAGTACCAGGATGTGTTTGATGGTAGACTTGTTAGGTGTAAAACCAGAATGCTCCGGTTGCTGGTAGGCGGGCAAGTGATCATAAGCCTTATTAAGGATTACCCGGCACTGAGAACAGTGTTATCTTCTTGTAGTTGTCGCAATCCAGGTGATCACCCTTTCCTTTCCAGATAGGGACAACAAGTCCCGTTTGCCAACCAGTGGGGATGACGCCCATCTGCCAAATGGAAGACAAGATTGCTTCCAATGCCAGAAGGACAGCCGAACCACCAGCCTGGAGAAGTTCACCTCAGATACCACAGCTCCCTGTAACCCTCAGCAGGTTCACCACCTGTGCAATCTCAGTGTGATTGAGTGGTTCACAGCTAATTGGAGGATCAGTCTCAAGAACTGTGGACCCAGAGATCTCCAATGTCCTAGCCAGAGGGTCAGCTTTAATGAACAGCTGCTCAAAGTAGCCAGCCCAACAGGTCTCAACCGCAGTGTCATCCAAAAGGATCGTTCCATCACCTGCCTTAACTGCGACTCTCCGAGGAACAGATCCAGTTGTGTGTAATGTATAGATTTCTCTGTGAGCAGGTCCTGGGTCACTAACCCACAGATGGTGTGTCACTTGTCCACAGATTCCACTAACAAATGCCTCCTTTATTGCCCTCAGACCCCTTGCAGCCGTCCTTCTCAATGATGAAACACCTCCTTCTGGGTACACCGGTAACACCAACACAACCCTCAGCAACCTTCAGAGTCGTGTCAGGGAAGGTCTCCCACACCACTTTAGAATTAGCAGTTGCAAGTTCCTCACATAAAGAGGAGAGATAGTGCCTTAATCTGAGTCTCATAATACGCTCCTTGAAATGAGTGACATCAGACACCAATCTGCCAATAGCTACTCCCTGAGTATGGCAGCCATCAGAGCAGTGTCACTCAGTCTGGTATCTGAGGCTGTAGATGGTGCCATATTCCCAGGTGCAGTATCATGTCAGATGAATGTCGTGCTCCATGTGACCTGGCAGGGTTTGACTCTCCCTGCAGGCCTCGCCTTCGACTCCTGGGATCTGGATTATTACACCACCCTCTTCCAGAGGGTCCGCAGGAACCCCACCAGCGTGGAGTGCTTCGACCTCGCCCAGTCAAACAGGTCCGTCTGAAACCTGAGACTCCTCTCCTGGTGTTCGGGGCTCCACGTGGTATCTTATCCTTCCCTCCTGTTTTTTTCCCTGCAGTGAGCACAGCCAGCACTGGTTTTACCATGGCCTCATGATCGTCGATGGACAGTCTCATCATGGGCACTCAGCGCCATAGCAAGCAGAATAATTTCATTAAATTCTGTGACAACAGCAGGTGAGTGGAGCATGAAGCATCAAGCAAAGAGGATCGAACACATAATAAACTTTGAAGTTAAAATCAGGTTCCTGTACAAATTCTATATAGACAGAAGTATTGGGACATATTAGTATTGGGAATTCAGGAATTTGATTCAGACTCATTTCCACAGGGTTATAAGGTCAAGCACCTAGCCATGCAGTCAGGTTTACAAACATTTGTGAAAGAATGGTTTGTTCAGAATTGCTCAGTTAATTCAAACATGGCACTATCATAGGATGTCACCTTTGCATTGTCAGTTTGTGAAATTTATTCCCTGCTAGATATTCCTCGGTCAACTATAAGAGGTATTATTGCTAAGTGGAAGCATGTAGGAACAACAGAAACTCAGCCACGAAGTGGGAGACCATGGAAAGTAACAGAGTAGGATCACTGAGTGCCGAGGAGTATGGTACGAAGAAGTCGCCAACACTCTGTTAACTCAGTAACTGCAGAGTTCCAAACTTACTCTGGCATTAACCCCAGCACAAAAACTGTGCACCTTGAGCTTCATGGAATGGGCTTCCATGGCCGAGCAGCTGCATGCAAACCTCACATCACCAAACACAATGTCAAGCGTCAGACAGATTGGTGTAAAGCACACCACCACTGGACTCTGGAGCAGTGGAAAAATTCTGTGGAGGGAAGAATCACACTTCCGTGTCTGGCAGTCTGGAGTCTAGGTTTGGAGAATGCCAGGAGAACATTACCTGCCGGACTGCATTGTGCCAACTGTAAAGTTTGGTGGAAGAGGGATAATGGTATGGGGGTGTTTTTCATGGGTTTAGTTCCAGTGAAGGAAACTCTTAATGCTTCAGCATACTAAGACATTTTGGACAATTATATGCTTCCAACTTTTGTGGGAACAGTTTGGGGAAGGACCTTTCCTGTTCCAACAAGAGTCTTGAAAGATCAAGATCACTGGCCCACACAGAGCCCTGACCTCAACCTCATTGAACACTTTTGGGATGAACTTGAATGAAGACTGAGAGCCAGACCTTCATGTCCAACATCAGTGCCTGACCTCACAAATGTTCTGGGTGAGTGAGCAAATATTCTCACAGACACACTCCATAAAATTGTGGGAAGCCTTCCCAGTATAGTAGCAGCTGTTATAGCCGCAAAGGGGGGACCAACTCCATATTGATGTCTATGGATTTAGAATATGATGTCATAAAATTCCTGCAAGTGTCCTAATACTTTTGTCCATATAGTGAATCTTGAAATCACAGTCAACACCATTATTACCCTTAATAGCTTGAAACACACGGCATGCTGTCTTGCTGAATTACTATTAAAATTGCGGCTTAATGGATGGAAATGGTTCCTGGAAACACTTAACTACTGCTTATGTTGTATTATCTGTCTCACTTGGTTGTCATTTTGGACAAACACACCTGCTAAATGTAAATGTGATTATCAACCTCTCAGCCTTGCGTGACCACTTTGAAAAGCCTTAGTATTTTTTTCTCTCAGTTTAAGCGGATTTTCCATAGGTTCGGGTTCGGTTAGAACATCGCAGTGTCCAGGGGTGCAGTAGGGGGCATGAATACCCTGGCAGATTCAGGGGGCCCAACACTGTAGGAAACAAAAATTCTTTATAAAGACGAAGGCCTGTTAATTATTTCAAAAGTTGAAAATATTGACATATTGCTAATTGGTGTATTTATAAAGTGATGGCCTCCCACTGAAAGAAATACTGCATGTTATTTCTAGTAACCTTTGTTTTTGATACACGTTAGCATTTTATTTCTTCTGCTGATAAACATTCAAAATAGTTAGAATGGAATGTTTCACTATCATTAGCAAATGTTAATTATAAATGGCAAAATAGCAGTAAAAGGATGAAGCACTGGGTCATTGTATTAAAAACTGAACAATAGCATTAAACAATATAGTATTCAATAGTATTAAACAATATAATATAATTGCATTACTAAAATTTGTAGGGACCCTTGAATACACAAAAGTACAAAATTATATCATTTAAGTGTGGGCATTGGAGCCCAAAATGACATTTTGCCAGGATTTTCTGACTCCTCTGTGCCCAACTCCTGTTTTTCTGGAACATTCCCCATCTCCTTCTGTCAGTTTGATTTCCACCTCTGTGGTGTCGCTGGTGGCATCATTCCTCCATGTCACAAGACAAGACAAATGATAGAATGTTATTATTTAAAGATGCCTGAACTAGACTATATGTAAGGAATTATGGGTAAACGCCCCTGTGACCCTGAATAGGTCAAGTGGCTAGATAAAATGGATGCATGGATGGATGATTGGATGGATGGACATACATACATCTCATATGCTCAGTCTTTTTCCCCTTGAAGAAAAGATATTATCTGTTTACTACCAATTATTTTCACAACAAGCCAAGCAGCGCCACCACTGTCTGACACATTACGTGCAACCATGGCAAAGATATTGATTGGTTGGTCTGGTCTGTGTTCTGCAAGAAAAGTGAAAAGACGAAGTTAAACAACTGTATATGTGAACCTTACAGGGAAGGCAGCTCACTTTGAATTTACAGCCACTGCAAAGTAATCTGACCTTGGACTCAGAGCACCCAGTTAGAAGAGGAAGGACAAAGGAAAACCTGACATAAAACCTGACATAAAACCCACTTCCATTTAACAACACACTCAGTTTCAGAAATACCACACGATTTCAGCAAGTGTAACCTTCACAACTCTAATCATATACTATAAGTTATAAGTATTTTACACATACAGTTGTTGACAGAAAGAAGCACTCTGTGGGTTCTGGAGACAGTCAGAATGTAACTGGACCATGAAAGAGATGATTTGAGATCACTGAGAAGCTCATTTCACCCAGTCAGCCCCTGGGGACACATTCTAGTGGGCAGATACAGGAAGCAGCCTTCGAGATACCGAGTCCCTCTGCACAATACACCCGCCCCTCGGAAGGCAGACTGGCCAGTGCGCGCCGGCAATCTTGTTTGTCCAAGGCTACAGATAAGGGTGATTTATTGCCTTTCGCTTTTATTGAATTCGTGAGGGCAAACTGAACGAAAACGGGAAAGGATAAGGAGAAAAATAAAAATGTAATTAAAATTAAATTTTAAAAAATGTTTTTTTTTTTCTTTTTTACTTTTTAGCGTGACAAATATTTACGACATTTAAAGTTTGGTCCTAAGATACAATATAACACCGTCTGAGAAAAACCGCTAGGTGGCACTTTTGTACCACTTTTTAAAGAGCTGTCACAATTTGATTTTCTCTAAAAAGAATGATGCGCATGGGTGCAGTACTGTAATAAATTACATACTACTAAGTCCTACAGAAATATCATCCTTTGTGGCCATGTGGAAAAGGGAAGCTTAAGGGAACAAAAATTCTTTATAAACATGTAGGCCTGTTACATATTTCAAAAGTTTGTAACCAAGTAATACTGGCATATTGCTAATTGGTGTATTTATAAAGTGATGGCCTCCCACTGAAAGAAATACTGGATGTTATTTCTAGTAATCTTTGTTTTTGGTACACGTTAGCATTTTATTTCTTCTGCTGCTAAATAGCTAGAATGGAATGTTTCACTATCAGTAGCAAATGTTAATTATAAATGGCAAAATAGCAGTAAAATGATGAAGCACTGGGTCATTGTATTAAATACTGAATAATAGCATTAAACAATAGTATTCAATAGTATTAAACAATATAATACAATTGCATTACTAAAATTTGTACTGCATGCATCAGCAAAACTGTATCATCCATTCGCATCACATTGTACAATCAGTGCTACTAAGCAAACCAGTTTCGTGTTATACATGGTGCTGTAAAAAAGATATTATTTTATTCCCTTCTGTCTATTAATGACAGTAGATATACCCATTAATGACCGAAATAACTAACAAGAAAATAAAATATAAATCACAAAACAAAATGTCAGAAAGAAGCAGCTTATGTATATGGTTGGGTTTGCAATCTGTTAGTTGTTTTTATTATGCACTGTACAAAAATAAATTTATTAATGTCTTTGTATTGCCTGGAAACTGTGAACGTATTGCATCTGTCATCTATTGCTTTTAGGTACTGTACTGTATGTGGGTGCTCTGAAGAAACACAGAAATGCAGATTCCTGCTTCTCATGGATGGATGTCATCGGGAAAATGAAAGTGAGTGTTTCCCGAGTGGACAGCCGGTACAATAAGTTAATTATACAGAAGGAAGACCCCAGAAAACACCTGCCTGGACCACAAAGCTGTGAAATAAAACTGTGTTCTCAGGCAACCTCCTACAAACCAGTCACAGAGATGGCCTGTAGGGATGGAAATGATTATTCTATTCAGTGAGTCGATTCTCTCTGAACAAAAAAGATTCTTGCAGAATTGTTCATTGATTCATTCATTTCTGTGTCAGTGGGATGGGGGTTCCTTTATATTTAATACAATTCTATTCAAATATTGGCCAATATAATTTATTCACTTTTATGTAAGTTAAATTGATTAGATTAAAGTGTATCTATATATATATACATACCTATATTTCGTATACATCATTATTTCGTTGGGCTTATGCATTTCACTTTATGCTAATTACATTCTCTTTCACATGCCTGTACATCGGTACTCCGGTGGGGGGGTCACATGGACCACAGTGGACAAGCAGTGTATCATTTAGCCCTATTGAACAAAATAAATGAATCAGTACAGTGACTGAGATAATTTTATTCACTTATAAGACGCGTTCTATACCTGACTATAGCTGTTTGTATGAGTTCTTGAATATAAACCAGATAAACTGTCGAGCCTACCTTTCAGTCACTCAGTGCTCAGTTCACGGCCATGAATATGTGTGCAATGTGCGGTTCTTAGAAATGCGCAGTCCCGCACTACATAGAGAGGCGAATTGCGGCGAATACCTACTTAGCGCAGTGAAAGCGCCGATTTAAATGAATCATATACTTCGCTACACTTTATGCTGCGTTAATTGTCCGTTCTCTCCAGTAGTAGACAGTAACGTTTCACGCTACATGTTTTCCGTCGTGATTTTGGCAATTATAATGACTCTCTGTTAAACGGTTTGGCAGGAAATGAATTTGCCAGTAAAGTATCCTGCTGCTCGGATCCTATTAATACTTCATGGGAAGTTTAAACTCTTTATTTGACTCTTGGACTGACGTTAGAATGATAATTATTCTGAAGGAATGCTGTATTACCACCATCCTACCACTTAAATTGTCGCAACATGCATTTTATTTCGAAGCCTCATTAATAGCCTACAGAGTAAAACGAGGCGCGATTATCTGGGCAATTAAACACACGCCTAAGTTTTAAAGCCTGGACTCTTTTCTCTTCTGTATGATTAACATTAAGCTGTGCAGACATAGGACAGTCTATCTAACCCTAACCTGGACCCTGAAAAACTTCGGTTGAAGGCTGAACCCGGGAGTACAAAGCTGAATGAAAACGGATGAAAAGTGATTCGTTGTTATATTAATATCTTTGGTTCATTTACGATTAAAGATGATGACAAATTAATGATTAAGACAGGTGAGTATCTAGCTATTGAAAAGATCAGGGGCTAAAGTCCGGTTTACCTGGGGTTTGACTTTTTTGTTTTTGTTTGTGACGGAAAATTAGCTTCGGGGCTAAAATACTCGGGCTATGACCTCGAGTGATCAGGCCGAACGGCATCCATGGATGAACCAGCAGAGGAATGGCTGATCCGCACAGTCAACCAAAAGCCGTAGAAATGCTTTGCTTTGTTCATCTTGTGTGAAAGTGTAGAGACACAGTCGTACCATAGGAAAATCTGAGGACAGGCACTCACATGCCTGCTGTTAATGGGCTATACGTTTTTATATTTACATAAACATAAACAGCAAGATAAACTTAGATCGTCATCACGTGAATGGCTGATAAACTCTTGTAAGTATTAATGCTTATAAGACAACTATGTGACAGGCTACTGTGAGTTGTGTTTTTCTTCGTGATGTTAATAAACGAACATAATGAATTAAAGACATAGTGAATTAGGGATGTATCATCTGTTTGGACTTAGAGGATACAAAATACAAGACTTTTTGCATTTTTAGGTTTTTGATTGCTTTCACAGATTTTTATAAAATTGAAGTTATCCTTGTGGGGCATATATGTCCCTGCAACGTAAAAAGTTACTGCTTTTGTCGTATTGTGGGGAAACCCAGTCCCCACAATGTAATAATTACAAAAATGCATTTCAGATTGACTGGTGACTCTAAAGCTGCCTATGAATAATTCTGCCTCGCAGATTTACTGACATAAAGCTTGAAAATGAGGTAATAAATTAAAGCAGCATAATAGATCCAAATAAATTGTCCAAATAAATTGTGTCATTTCTGTTTCAGAAAAATAATAGAATAATAAAAATGATAATGGGAATTTCAGTAGTGACGAGTGCAAAGGGGGAAAAAAACTCTCTCCAGGGTCTTTATCGACTCACATTGCTGTGAGGACTCTTATAGGTGTGAAAATTGTGTCTTGCACATGTGTGAAGGGGANGGGGGGGGGGGGGGGGGGGGGCAGGGTTGCCGATTTGTCTGAAAAAGAAAAATAATATCTCAGTGTCTAATTGCGCAGAAAATACTGCAGCTCACAGGAAAACAGCATCAGAGCTCTTTGTATATTCCTTTTGATTCCCTGATTTGTTAGACTGCTGACATCAAAGTATCATGTTTGGGATGAAAGCACAGTTAAAATATCACTTCAAAATCATGTGCCATGAAAACTGGGATGACCTGCTGAGCCTGTTAATTTCCACGTTACAGATAATTAATAACAGTTAGGAAAAATAAAAAGTATTGCCTGATTCTTCTTTTTAAAATATTATTTAAAATGCTACTATAGTTTGTTGTTTCATTCCGGCTGTGAAGCTTTACATAATTCATTCTGCCTTCTTTTATTTACATTTATTACCATTATCCTTTCCAGTTTCAGTGCATCTTAGTAGTATGAAATGTGTGCAGCATTGATTTAAAAGGCACTATAATAAATGCTATGTATGTATATTTATTGTTTCAAAATAACAGCAATTAATTTGTCAGTACTTGGGATATGAGTAACACTACTAACTGTTAAATGCTGTAGATTGTTTCTCGCAGTTTAGCTGTTGTTTGTTTACACATGAGAGTATTATGGGTAATCAGAACAAGGTGGCATGGTGGCTGAAGGGTGTGGAGCTTGTGTTCAGGGTGTGTGGAACTTCCATGTTCTCGTTGTGTTTTTGGGTTTCCTCCACCAACTTATTGTTCAGTTGGGTTTAAAGCCATCTCCAAATTTCCTGCAGTGCTGTGTGTCCTCCAAAGGACTGGCATCCCGTCCTGAGCATCCCGTCCTGAGCATCCCGTCCTGAGCATCCCCTGCCTTGTACCCTGCCTGGTGTCACCTGGGATACAGGCTCCAGGTCCCCCGTGACCTTGCCCTGGTAGATGGCTGGATGGATACACAGGAAGACGTGACGCAGGACGGGCACAGAACACGTGGTTCAATGTCAATTACAGGAAGGACATAAACACAAGACAGAGGATGTTTCAGTCAGGAAAAAGAGATTATAAGTCAAGCCTGGACACCAGTGCCAGGGAAAATAATCGAAGCTGCAGGATATGAAACGGGCATGAGGGAATCGGTGCAGGTTTACTGGGCAGAGAATAAAAAATCTAATTATAATAAGGAAGAAAATGCTCTCAATCACATGACATTACTCCTGAGACATTACTCCCATGGCTGCTTACTAAAGATACTGCCTGCCATTCAGCACTACACACGGTATTAGTATGGCCCCAAATATAGGCAATAAAGAAGAGATATTACTAGAGAATTATTATTAATTATTTAATTAATTACATGT